CTTAAAAAAATTGCACAGCCATTCAAAACAGTGCAGTTCCAAGCCTGAAAAATCGCACCTTGTTCTAAAAGTCTCGAAAAAACCACCTTAATGGAAGTGTCTCGTGACTTCCAGGTTATCACGCGGAGAGATTAAATGCTGGCGTGTGATGTGGCCACAGTATGCCGGTATTAGCCTGAGCTATTCAGACATACATAAGTAGACATTTCAGGACCTTGTTTCTGACACACAGGTTGCTATTTCGGTGCCACTGTGATTCTTATGTTTGTGTTGAGTAAAATGCACAACAGGAAATAAACTACAAACCATTCAGACTAGAGACTAGAATATAACTTTACTACCTTTAATACAGCGGCAACAGTCACTGTCATTTGTATAACATCTTTCACGACTTCAGCCCTTAGGCCATTCAATCAAGTAATTTACAATTTTGTCCTTGCATTGTAACACTTTATCAAAACGCTATTTGTCCAATCGACTGTGCTGAGTATTTGCAACATTTGAGAATTGGTCATTGAAAGCAGAACAGTTCTAATAAGCTAAAGGTCATGGAAACGAACTTCTCTTCAAAAGAAAAGTTAAGTTTAAGGTGTTGTGTCACAAGTGTAAGTCGTCTCTCTGCAGCCATTATTGGGGTCGTCACGGAAACAGAGAAACGTACAACCAAAACAGTGGATGCAAAGGAGACTCAAGCAACTCTCCATGTCAGGAAATATTTAAGGACGTTCGCACTCATTGTTACTGCTTAATACATCAAGTGCGCGCGCTAAGGAACAAATATAAGCGTGTACAGGGCTTGGCACTGGGTATGCTAACTTCGCTTGCAATTTACTTTCTTACTGGTCGGTGCCCCTCTTTTCTTTTCATAGATCACTTCCTTTACTAATTTCGTCCATTTCAACAAGAAAAAGAAAATAAATAAAGAAAACAGTTCAAGTAATCTGTACGTGAGAAGTTACAATTATTTCGCCTGTTCTGTTCTCGTGTGACCGAAGTTTTCATCGAATGTGGACGGGCAGAGCTAACATTTATTATATATCATGTCTTAAGTTTACTTAATAGCCTTAGATTAAAGCTTCTAAAAACGCATAGTCTTCAATGCGCCATATTTCGAAAATGAGCTATATTTCGAAAATGAAAAGTTGATCTTTGCTGTACTGCGTGACAATTAAAAAAAAATTTTTTACGAAGGAACATTTCGGCGCGAACGTCCTTAAGAACCGTATACCTTTAGAGGAGTCTCGGGTCCAGTCGATGTAGCGTGTCCGGTTTAAACTGTACATGCCTAAACCCCTATAGCAAATTAAAGCTTATAGACCTGGCTATCAGACTATATCAAGAATTTTGAAAAAAAATGAATTGTCCAATTTAATACGACTTCTAAATGCTAGCGTCCGAATCACCTTTTTAAAGCTACAAGTCAACGCGAATTTTGTTTTTCGCTTGTTTAATTTGTTCCTCAGTTTCCGAACCCAAAGCGCTAAAACAGGTGTCTGCGATTTGCCATATTCAATTTCAGTGAAAAGTTACAGAGCATTTCCGAAATAGGATTAATAAAATATGGAGTGCTCGTAGTAGAATCGCTCTCACCTTGAAGAAAAAATTATTTAGAAATAAAAAAAATTGCCGACGCGTGTTTAATTGTTTATATGTTAAACTGGCTACAGTGCAAATTTGAGGGCAAACGAACAAATTCCCTTTGACTTGCAGCTTTCAAAATGCACCCAAAAGATAATTCAGACGCTCACATTTGAAGGTAGTGCAAAATTTGACAATTCATTTTATTTCAAAATGTTTGGTATGGTGTGATACATGTAGCTCGGTATGCTTTAATTTGATATAGGGGTTTGGGTATCTACAATTTAAACCGTACGCGCGACATCGCATGGACGCAAGACACCTCTAAATGTATATGGTAACCTTAATATAACATTTTTTGTCAAGGTGCTGATGAGTAAACGTTCGGTTGGCTGGAACATAGTTGAACATTTGAATTTATACTTTCAAAATTAATGGAACTTGGCCATACAGCTATTTCACTTGGTAAGTAGAAATAGAAATAGCAAGAGCTCTACAAGGTTTTCAGCTTCCTCCTGTGGAGAACAAAATAATTAAAGTTGTAGATGCTTGTTTTGGAGTAGCCCTTGTCAAAACGGTTCCCTCAATTCAAACTCTCTTATTCAATTGTCAAAGCTATGTTTCCTGCGAGTGTGTTGTAGCCGTGTATTGTAGCCACTGTTGTTTTACTGAATTTACCTGCAGCAAAGTTTACGGCTTGGCAATTTATGAATGTCACACTTAAGGTGTTTTCGAGTCACAAGTTGGTTTAGTTTTGCTGATTAATCAGAGAAAGTGTGATAATTATCAATTTATATGTTCGTCTTGGACATCAAATTCAAACGAAGCAGAAAATTGTTAACCACTTCAGGGAACCATACTGTCTTTCGGGTATCCATACTTTGCCATCTGAGTTTTTGTTTTGTTGTAATCTTGTGATGGGGTTATTTTTAAGAAAACCAGACTAGACTGCTCCTTTGTCGATAACCTCTAGCTGCTTCTAGCATCAGTCTATTAGGTTTAGTATGGACTCTTACCTGATTTTCGTCAGGGTGAATTGCAATGCCCCTAAAAAGGGATAAGAAACATTCTACATCATCTTCATCATCTGATTACTTTCTCCTACTATAGTTATCTCTTTTGGGCCGATCCCCATGTAGTTTCCACTTTTTTAACAAAGTAACCAACTTATTTTTACCAGTATTAATCGGATCGAAAACGTGCAGGATATGTCCAAAATTGTTACTTTGGTTCTTCGCCCAGCAGAAAAGCATTCTGAAATGGTTTTTATCTCTGGTGTTTTTCGTTTTAAAAAGGTGCACAAATAAGCAATAAATAGGTTATTTTTAAGCTAGTCACAATGGCAAAATTTGTTTCAGTTGGTTTATCAGCGGCCTTGGAAGGAAAGAAATCACTTTTAGGATAAATGAACTAAACGCAGAATCTGGCGTTTTCAATTTGATGTCCCTTACCCTACGGGGCTATGGCGTCCACTAGACCCAGTGTCCTGCGTGACCAAGTGTCCTCGTCGAGAGTAGCATGGTCGTGCAGAAATCTAATGGGAAAATTTAACATGACTCAATGAAGAATATAGAAATAATTTGATGGAACTGACATTCATTTGTAAGCTTCTCGTACCTGATTTTTGCACTTGGACTTGACACATTTACAACCGTCAACACAATTGAGGTCGGCTGCTTTGCAAGGACACGCTCCTCTTCCTCTCTTCCATGCACATTGCCCTGGACAAGAACAGTGTGCTCTTTCATTTTCTGTTCCCTGAAGAGGAAAGAAACAATTCAAGTGCTTTGGCGGAATATATATTCAGTACTGTGTGCACTGGCATTTGAAATGTCTGATCTCGGTAGTTATGTCTAATTCTTCGTCCTCGTCGTCGTCCTCGTTCGAGTTCAATGCTGAGCCATAAATATTTACCGGCCGTCTGAAAATGGCGCAATTGGTCAAAATACCCTTTATAGTTTTTCGTCTAGTGCGCTTAATTTTCACGGGCCAAACTAGCCATTTAGACACGGTATACCCATAACACAGCTCTTTCTTTAGAACGTCTTATTTGTCGAGAGATTGAAATCTAAAATCAGTCGAAATGTGGCATGTTGATTGAGTGGCGATGGTTGTATTTTCCAAACGGGCAAGAAGTAGACAAAACTTATTTACTTCAAACTGTGTGAATAGGAAATCAAGTCAAGTTTCCTTCTTTCTCTACTGACCTGTTAAAAATGCGCAATTTTGCATCGGCCATCTTAGTTAATTGAGCGGTAACTTTCCTAGATTTCACAAAAATGTGAACTCGCTGGAACTTTTAGTGTGCCTTTCAATAACATGCGGATTCTAAAATTCAAAGCTCAACCGGCAAATGCTTTTTTCGCTACCGTCAATGAAAATGATGTTCGGCGGCTTCCAACTACTGCCGAGCGCGCGGTAATCAAATCGTTGAGCACAGTTCAGACAACGAAACAGTGCTCGGCAGTAGTCGGAAGCTGGGAGGAGCCGCTGAACATGTGATCGACGGCAGCAAAAGACGCATTTGGCGGATGAGCTTTGAATTTTAGAGTCCTCATGTTATTGAAAGGCGCAGTAAAGTATTTTTTGAAAGAAGTTCACCAAAAAGGGTCTTCTTGACACAATAAAAGAAAATTCGAATTTTGCGACCTGTCGTGGGAAACTCCATATTAAGAGGCAGTAGCTCTTAAGATATGTGTTGAGATCAACGTCTTACCTGTTTTGTAAGGTTTTGTTTCGATGCCATTTTAGATTTATCTGAAGTAAAAAAAAAAGCATGTATCAAATGATAATAGTATATTTATTGGGTTTCTTTAAGGAATCACTTGCAATCGAAACTATTCTTATTGCATTTAGCACTGTGTAACCCGATGTAATACAAGCTTTAGTTTGTTTACCCATCTAAGCAACCACAATGCTGGTTTGCGATCACCAAAATTATCTTACTTTATGACACGTTTTGTTTGTGTAATTTGCGGCCAAAGCTAATTTGTCTTGATACTCTGAGCTGTCCTATTGCAGCGAAACTTCGCTTCAACAGGATGCGCGGCTTTAAACTGTTTTATTTTTCCATGTCTCCTACAAACCTACAAAGCTATGTTTTAAATTGAACAAATATCTTTCTGGTCCTAACAGTTATTTTTCGGGGAAAGCATTTGCTTCCCCGACTTCAGCCCCACATGTTAAGTCGAGTATAACTATTTTATGATGTAAACATGCTGTGTAAAATTGTCTTTCATGCTGTGAATAGCAACCTAAATACGTCAACATCGTTCATGGCTACTGGAGGCTCTTTGACTTCTTCAATTTATTTTACTCTAACGAACAGCAACTCAAGGCTATAGTCTGCGAATCTTTAGTAGATGACGGGCGTGTTGAACCCAATTGGCAAAGACAATTTGGAGATTAAGAACGAATAAAAAATGAATGGTTTTGTAAATAAGGTGCTTTAAACGAGGTATCGATCATTCAAAAAGACAAGTTCTTTTAAGCAGTTTATTTCCGAAGTCATTTTTATTCTCTTTGCTGAACAGCTAGCGAAACAGTGTTAGTCTTTGTTTTTCCATGTGGCAATTTATGTGGCAATTTACCCCCTGATATCATAATAATATGAACCCTGGGTAGGCGCCGAAGGTTACCATCATAAATAAATATGTACAAGTGCTCATTCTGTAAGAAGAATACTCGAATACAGGTGATCGGTTTTTTGCGTTTTGATGGCGTCTCTAATGATCTAGTGAGGAATCAGTAAAATAAGAGCATGTGCGAGCATTATAAACGAGAATGCATTGAACACCTAGTTAATTGTTTGATTTAAAATAAGTGCATGACATGCACTGTTCATGTTGAGTGTATCAACGTGTTTTATTAGTTCAAAGTTTTAATTCCACACGTTGGTCCTGCCTAACTTATACAACGACCAATCTTGAAGTATATATCCTCTCGCTGGGCATGCAGGCAAGCCAGCACAACGACTCTACTGCTTCAATCATGGCGCCTTCGAGTTCATCAGTTGATGTTTTACATTTCGTGTTCACACTTCTTGCTGGTTAATCCAACGGATAATTCATCCGCGTGGCAAACACTAGTTTAAGGCGCGATCTGTAGAAAAGGTCCCCCAAAAGAGGAGAAAAAGCAGTGAATCTTTCGTGAAATCATTATGGTCTTTATACAAGCTTTCGGTGAAAGCGATCGAATCATTTCGTGATATTTTCGGTGTTTTAAGATCGGGCAAAAGACAAAGGCTGATGCCCTGAAAAAGTCAGCAAAGCGAATGATAGTACAACCGAAATCTGGAGAGAGTGATTTTGCTTTCAGGAGGTTATTAGCCATTTTAACTGGTTTCTAGAAAGCATACCATGAGAATATGCGATCAGTGAAACGTAAATGGAAAACTGTTCTGTATGGCAGTGTTGTGTAATAGTTATGCCTGCTCTTACCTCGCTTTCTGTAATATTGTCAGTCAGGTCTTTTAGTGTGGTATCTTTCGTCGATTGACTCGGCCCAAAACTCCTTCCAAGATGTGGTGTTGAAATAAAGGCCTCTTTCCCTTTTCCTTTTCCTTTTTTGGTGCCCATGGGCTTGTGGGAAGATTAGGAGATAGAGCCAGTGTTTCGTGACGTGCGTGACATGTTGGGACATGTTGCGGTACAGTATCCTTCAGTTTTAAAATGATTTAGCAATCAGGAGCGAAGACGCAGAATTAATTGAACCACGGTGTGGTGATACATCATTCCTTTTGCCCGAAGTGTAGCTGTTCCTCTTTCCCTGTGTTCGCTGGTAAACGAGTTGAACTCAGTTGCCAATGGATTTCGATAAATATAACTCCAAAGCAGTGTCGTTCATTTCAACACGTGGGTCGTATTGTCCAAGAAGATTCATGTTGAACACATTCAGTTCCTTCTTAATGCCTGATATGACACACTGTACCCTGAAAGAAAAAATTTCGTTTGGTTGGTTTGTGAGTCCAAACATAGAAATATCTGTCTGGGTGATATCACTTTGTAGCTGTTTGTGTTGTGGTGAACTAAACTGAAAACTGTTACCTTTCTTTCTCTTGTCGCAGTGAACTTGGAAAGCGAGTCACCGAATCCCGCTCAAAGGTGTTAACTCTAAACGCGAGGAGCCATCTAAACGGAAGTCCTCTGCTTTGTGAAAAATTTGTCTCCAGATGGCATTTTAATGAGAATCGTTATCCATATTAAACGTTTTCAAAATCGTTCTCCAAATTTAAAGTTTTCAAAAGAACTTCAGTGTTACGACGTAGAACACTTTATACTGTACCTACATGAGATCCACTTTGAAACAAGAGAAAGAGCAAACTCAGTTTTGGTAGACGAAGGCTTCAGATCGCTTAAACGTTCCGAACAAAATTGCGTTGTTGGAACCTACTAGATATTTGTTACTCAAAACTCTTAAGAGGTCGCAGAACTGATGCCAGTTCAGTTCTAGTTATGGGTTATATATTTATTTGAGCGATTGGTGCAACAGTGTATGACCTGCTGTAACGTGACTTCAGGTGTGAATCGACATTCTTATTCCATGATAGAAAGTTTTTCCTCGAAGCCATAATTCTGAGAAAACTGAATGCTTAAATAGTTAGGCCTTCGAATTTCTTTTGCGTTTTTTTTATTTAGCTCGTAATTTGCTATTTATAAGGCCTCAAGTTTACTTGCTCTGCTATTTCGAGCCACCCTCTCTAACTAAAGATTAAACAATCACCTAAATTCTCTTAGCAATGTTAACGTGCAACGCGTAAAAATGTTATTAGGAAAGACTTGTGCATGTTTCAGCACGGAACTGGCTAATTAATTCTGTGTCTAGCAGTACTGTTAATATGAGAATTTCTTGGAAAGGCAAAGTTTGCTTTTCACATCGGAGCGAAGATTACTTTGTGATAGGGTGCTGAATGATCCTCGTATCTCAGGCCCCGTACGCACTAGGTTGACAAGATTTGTTTGGCTCTGCCAAAAATCTCGACAAATTTTGTCTCCACCAAATTTTGAATTTGCTAATAGCGTATACGCAGTTGAAAACACGACCGAATGTAATTGGACTCACTGCCTTGTTATAATCTTTATTATACAATGGAAGAACATTTAGATTAAACACCGTTGTAGGTTTGGCTGTCTGCCCATGGCTCACTGATTGAACCTGCCGTGTCTAAAAGAGAAAGATTGTTCAGAGTAGCAAATTGCAACTTAAATTAAATGTTCCTGAGTAATTTGAGACATTTGCGTGAAAACTGTTTTCTTCACCTTTTGAGCCGACTCATTGTACTGTTAACAAGAACAAAAATTATACTCACAGAGAGTGTAAAGAAGTTAAACTTGATTCAGGTAGAAAATCGTAGTCGGGAACCGATGAGGCTTCTCTGATGCGGAACGAAATAGATTCAAAGTAGTGCAAAGGTGTGCATGGGACGTCAGCAGTAGAGATGATCCGCGAAAATGATATATTTCGTGATATGCTCTAAATCGCAAGAAAGCGAGGCGAGCAAAGCTTTGTTCCAGCCAGACCTTACCTTCATATTGCTTAGTACTGTTTAACGTTCAATGTTCTGTTTTTCAGTTCTTTTCTTTCCTAGAAAACAGAATATTGATCCGGTTGTCTCCGTTGTTTATGTTATCACGTTCGTTGTCAATTGAAATAAGAGGGAAAAAAGTTCAGTTGACCTTGACTTTTTGCATAAACAGACCAAACGATGCTGACGTTTCATGTTTATGCGATTGGCTAAGGTTCAGTTACCATAGAAATTAATGCTTGGTGTGGTTTAATTTGTTTCCACGAAAGGTTTTGAAATCACTTTCTAAGAAACCAAGTTCTATCGGTTTTGGTTTTATTTCTAAGCCTGCTGAATTTTTCGTAGGCTTATATACATGAGTACAATGCACAGGTCTGTTAAATACAAATTAGTTATCTGTGGATCACGCAACAGAGGCAGTCGAAATTATTCTGGTTTGTGCTATTGTGCGGATATTATGTGGCCTGTATTTGTTGGTAAAATAACACGCGCTCTGATTGGCTAATTCAAGGACATTATTCTCCTGTAATGCCCCCGGGCTGATTGCGGGTCCTGTAAAACCAAAGCAAAAGCCATATATTAAACAAATTATTAACCTGGAACGTTCCAAACCTCGGCCTTGCTCTACATTCCTCCTATTCTATAGCATTACCAAATGTTAGAAAATAGCCCAAAGAAAATACCCGCGCTGATTGTTTTAAAATTGTCTTTCTATAACTCGAAAGAAACAGATCTAGCGTAAGCTGATGACGTAATGATGGCGCGGACAAAGGGAATTTACATTTTGATAATCAAAGTAAACAAGTTTTTCTTTTTTTTCGTCACGTTATTTTCTAAAGGAAATAGAAAACATGTTATTCTTGTTTCCATCGAGTTTTTTTTACGATAACTACAGAAATTCTCGCCCGCTCACTGGCCAATTTTCCTCATCATTAAGCGCACAGACACGTGAATTTATCATTTATGCGATGCCTCAACGAGCGAGAGCGGACAATTTGACAAATTGGTATCGTAAAAAGGCAAATTGGTGTCAGTTTTTTATGCGTCTGTCCTGTTATTGACGATGAATTTCGTAATAACATTGTGAAAGTAAATACTTTAAAGTTCTCAAGCTGGATCTTTCACAGCCCGCTAGAGTAGACTTAGACATAGACATAGTTTATTTTGCTTGGTCGCACACTTAATTATGGTAGAGGTGCGTCCCATAGACTTGTTAAGCAGTCTACAGCACGCACCAGTCATTTTACAGGTGCGCCCAGAAAACAAAACAACAAGGTAAACATGTTCATTTGGAAATGAATATGAAAGTTGACTAACTAAGATGGCATAATTACCTTTAAATGATCAGCTCTCTCAGTTGGGGTGTTTCGCGATGTCCTCATGGGATTTTTACGCCTCTAGGTGTCTGAGAAAAAAGATTACCTGGAATGAGACAGGAGGAAAGGTCAGTTTGACACAAGTGGCAGAAAACTTTGTGGATTAACAGGTAAGGACTTGATCAATAAAGCGGTTTTCAATCAAATGCTGAATATAATATGGAATAGGCCATTTCCGAGTTTCCTTGCCTCTGTTTCAAAACGAGTCTTCGTGGAAAACCTTTTTTATGAGAATGACTTTGATTTGCATGTAAATGAACCTGTAGGCGGAGCTCATTTTCACATGAATGGTTTCGTACGTAGACTCGTTTTGACACAGGCAAAAGGTGACTCAGAAGTGGCCTTTTCTTTGGTTGGCTTCACCAAGCTCTATCACTGCCTTAAAAACGGATAAAATTTTAATTTATGCAAGCTTTCAAGTTCAAATTTCAGCTGTCAAACGGTCATCTTTTAACCAATGAGATTTTATGGACTTTTTTAAGTAGCCAATCAAAAAGCGAGAAAAGCTATTGACAATGTTGGCGCCATTTTGAATAAAATTCACTTATCTTTGTTTACGGTAAGTTTACGCCTCTTTTCCTCTCATTTGTTCCCGGAATTTGACCAGTTCGGGGTCTTGTTATTGTAAAAAACGAATTGACATCAGTTTTTTATACGTCTGTTCTCTTATTGATGATAAATTGCGGCATAACATTGTCAAAGTGGCTGTGGAACCACGAGCCGCAGGCGAGTGGTTCCGCAGTAACTTGGGATGGAAAGTAAACAAATCCAGAGAAATTAATAATGAATGAAAACCAGGGTTCTTTGGCAGTGTATGTTGGTGTATAATGTTCTNGGCTTGGTTTGTCAAGTTATGGAGGAAGTGAAACCTAGGGATAGTAAGTGTCACCTCTCTCTGTTTTATCAGCGTGATGAAAAATACTATTGTATTTACAAACTTAACTTGGCCATCAAAAACTGGCCTGGATTTTCCCCACGAAGGTTACATTTTTTTTGGTGGGTATGCTATTTACATGTAGTCGTTTGTCCCTTAGCTAAAATAAACTTGGGAATTTGGAATTCGAAACAATATTCAGTTAGTAAATAGTCGACCTCTCGCCTTACTGTTTTGTATCCGTCCTTTTTAGTGCAGAGGGCATTATTGGGATGGTTTGTGGGCTAATATCCGCTATGACATTAAGGCAGTAACGTGTAAACTTTAATGTTTGTTTAATTAATTAATATCAATTAATTAAAAAAAAGGTGAGAGAGTCAACAAGAATTCCCGTCTCCGAAGTTCAGACAACCCTCAGATCTCCAATGTAATGTTGTTTATAAAATCCCATGCAAAGACTGTCCTTGGAACTACATAGGAGAAACCGGAAGATGTTTCCAAACCCGAAAAAAGGAACATCAACGAAGTTTGAAGAACTATACAAAGGGCTCAAATGTCGCAAACCATGCGTGGCAAAACAACCCCTCCATTGACTTCGATAATGCTTGTGTTATTGACAAAGGCAGTTACCGCGTTCGAAAAACACCAGAACCCTGGCACACAGCTAAAACGCGGATAATAACTCAAAACCGTTGCCTACCCAATACTCCATTTTACTGTGATTAGACCTTATTTACATTTTTATTTTTTAGCTTTTTTCACACTTCTATTTGTATTCTACTTTTATAAAATTTTTCGCACCCCTTTTCGTATATATTCCGTCCGCGTGCTTACAGTTTTCATTCGTTAAAGGCTATAGACTGGTAGCCGAAAGCCTATGTTTTTAATCTTTTTTAACCAGAGAACGTTTTTTTCACTTTAATATCAATTAGTTGATTAGTCTTCAGGCAAGAAAGTGGTTTGGGAGGGTAGGTGCCTGTGCGCACTACGTAAAAACGCATGTCACCCACCTTACTGTAATTATAATATCACAAAGCTATATATTTGGTTTAGCAAACCTCTTGTCATCCTTTTGGTACTATTCTCTTTAGAACAAAACCAATTTTTCCTAAACTCATGCGCAGCTTATTTAGCGTTCGTGCCAACTATATATTAGGTGAAAGATGCATTTCATTTGGGATCACACGACGCGAAAATGTTGAGTGGTTTTCCTTGTGGTAGAACCCAACATGTAAGACGCAAGCGTTCTAGCATTGTTAGCGTGGTATACTCCGTTTTCATCCCCAGAGCCACGTGTTTTTTATATGTCGTGTGACAGCAGTTATTTTTCGGGTAACGTCACTTCCCCCGCTTTAGTGCAAAAAAACGCTACTGTGACTGAGTATCTTTGAGAATTGCCCCTAGCTCGGTTCAACAAATATCATCTGCTATTATCAAACTTTGCCAGAGTTCAAATAGGTCCTTTGCAGCTGGGGTCACGTGACCAAATTTTTGCGAGAAAATTTTTTGTATTATGGGCTATAGCTTAAAGAATGCCAGAAATGGAAAGAGCGCATCGAAAATACCAAAGTGGCAAAGTTTGAGGCCCCTGGAATTAAAGAGTAAGTTTATACTACAGTTTGAATTTTCGGACAATTTAGAGGATTTGTATGTAAAATGTTGCTGGAGAGCATCTCCAGCAACTTTTTCATACAAATCTTCTTATTCTTTTAAAAATTCGGACCGTCATAAAATCTCCTTTAATGATGGGGGCCTCAAACTTGGCCATTTTGATATTTTCGACATGCTTTTTCCATTTCTGGCACTCGTTAAGTTACAGCCCATAATTTTATGAAAAATAGGTCACGTGATGGCATAGCTGCAAAGGGCCTATTCGAAGATTTACGGTATGTATGTATGTATGCGTGTATGTATGTATGTATGTACGTGACAGACCTTCCGGAGCATATTTTGTCCAAGAGGTAGACTGGGTACTAGTAATTTTGAGTGATCCTTTGCTGGGGCCTTCGATGGCGGCCATTGCCAGTGTTGTGCAGCCTTTATTGGGCGTACTGTTTCATATCGTGTTGTCTGCGCCCTTATTTTGTTTTAAGTAATTATTGTACAGCTTACAGTTGCGAGTTTAGTTGCAGTTTCCAAGGAAAGTTATTTCCGATTTTTCAATCGTTCTATTGCCGTCATTAGTTATATTTGTTTGTTTTTTCTTTCCTTTCATTTAACACAAGCGCGTATAGGAAAGGCAAACGCTGCCTTTCGGTAAATGTTAACGAAAAGGGAAACAAATTAAACAAAAGCACAATTAGGATATGATCTCATATCCTCCAACTTCCCAGACAGATACTTTCTCCACTGTGGCACACTATAAAATATATTAATTATGCAGGAAATATTGATTAAGGGCCTCTTCATATGAGCCCGGCAACCTGGCTGGCTCGGTTACCGGGACGAATTTTGTTGTCTGTTCATATGGGAAATTTCAGCCTGGTCGACCGGGATAAAACCCAAGAAACACAACCAAAATGGTGGAACATAGACTTGCATCGTTCGTGGCTGTCGTAGCTTTGTGGTCTCTTGTAACTTTACTAATAAAGCTAATTCGCATACTTCTAAAGTGGAAATACATACAAGACAAAAATTATGCCATTTTTGAAGCTATGTTGCGAAA